CATTTGGACTGAAATGGCAGAAGTTTTCCATAGCAATGAGGTGGATCCAAGTGTGTTGCAGAACATTTAGAATCCAACAGCTCCTGTGGATTCAGGGGAAAAAACCCAACTATTTAAACTGCTACAATATTCTGCATCAATGCTAAGAGCTGTTCAATGGTCAGGCCTAAGTGGTATGACACTGGACTCTGTGTGTAGCAGCTCTTCTCCATGCAGACTTTCTCATTTGCTGCAAATTAAATGAGATTCCAGTGACATTTTTAGTTCCTTTTTTTTCTCATCTTGTTGTTCTTGTGTGTTAGCATTGCTTAGGTAATTATAGTTGTGCTCTCTAGAAGCCCTGACAGCCTAAACTGAGTTCTTTGTAAAAAACGTGGTGTTTCCCTTAATTAAGAGAGACTGGAAACAGCACCTGAATCTATTAATTAAATAGTCAAAGTTGATTTCTATTTAGGATATATTAACAAGCAAAACAAAATACATTTCTGACTAAAATGTTGCCCAGAGTAAGTGAGCTTCTGTGAGGTGCTTTTTTTTTTTTGTGAAGAAAAATAATCTATTGGTGCTGCAACTGTCACACATGCACAGTCATGCAAAATTCATGTGAGATAGTTCCCAGTTCCATGGTACTGAGAACAATAGCCGCTGTTTCTTCGTCAAAGCTCCTCAGAGATGTTAAATAATCCTTGTGACAACCCTATGAAGTGAGTATTGTAGTAATTTTGTATGGATGGCAAAACAATTAATGGGCATTGTCTCCAGCTGTACTGGGAAGGTGGGATTTGCAGGCTTGGCCTGCTGCTGGAGCTCCTGCTTGTGTGAGCAAAGGGTGGGTGAGCCTGTCCTGCTGCCTCTTCTCTCTGGACCTGTGCTGATAAAAACAACCTGCAGGTACTGCAGTCATCAGCATGAAGGTGTGTAGGTCAGGGTGGAGCCTGCATGTCCTGATAAAGGATGGATTTAACTTGTTCCAGGTTATTCTGACCGTGCCCCTGGCATTGCCTCTTGGAGGGAGGAGAGGGGTGTGGGGCTGTTGTCTGTGCTGTGAGCTGGAGTGTCCGTCTGAACGGGAAAGCTGCTCAGACTGAATCCAAGCACAAGTTTCCTCATTTGTGCAGTGAGATTCTGGCCAGCCTGGGTTGGCTTAGTTTGACTTGAGGGTGGTCTAATTTCCTTTGATGTGAAAAGGGTGCAGACCCCGCTGTTCCCTCTGCTGTGTGAACACCAGCTGTGTCTGGCAGCTGAAGGAGCTCTGGATAACCAGGACATGAGTTCCTGTTTGGGTCAGAGCAGTGTCACAGCTTTCCTGTGCAGCCTGGCTGGGGCTGCTGAGATACTTGAGATGCTCCTCTTCTCCTCCACCAGCTCTGCCTGCTGCCCTTCCAGGAGTCATAAATGCCACAGCAGATGGCTTGGGGAGGCAGTGTCTGTAATTACTGCTGCAAGATTTGCCGAAGCTTGACTCTGCACAAAGAACGCTTTTTTTTCCCCCTGGAGATTCAAAGTTGTTGGTACTTCAAATGCAGATTTGGTCTTTTCAGGGGAACACGATGGAGGAAATGTGTGATTTATGTGCTGGTTCAAAAGCAGCCTGTCTTTCCTCTTGACATAATTCATATCATGCTTTAGTGTTACCAGTTTTCAGTCTTCTCTTGCTGGGTCAGCTTTCATGTTCCTGGTAGTGATATGGGCTGGGCTGCTCATGGACCCAAGTCGTGGTAACAGCTGACATACTGCTAAATAACACAGTCATAATCAGGGTATTTGACAAAGGTAGGTAACCTTCCAGCAGGTCTCAGTGTCAATGTTCTCCCATCTGAGCAGGGATGTGCAGCTCTAGGTTTGACACATCTCTAATGCCTAATGCAAGAGCTCGTCTCCCAGTTGCAGCTGTGATTGATTGACCCAAGGTTGTGCTGCAGTGTCTTCTTTTCTGTGGGCTCCTTGCTCCAAATACCTTTCTGAAGTCTTGATCTCCTTACCAGTGTGAATTCTGAGCTGAATTTTCTCCTCTTGCATCTCTCTGATGCTGATGGCCCTTGGGTTTTTAACCATATAGCTAGCCAGGTTTGAATTATGAGAGGGCTGAAGCCAAAGGTTTTCATTTCCTGAGGCCAGTGAAGAGGCTGTGACCCAAATCATGCCCTGAGCAATGTTTTCTCCTTCTGGTGGTCACAGCAGAGGTGGTGCCTCTGGTTCCTCAGACAACTTTCTGTGATTATTTTTGGTACAGAGGGATGAGCCCCTTTCTATTTCAGGGATTTTTAAAATTTTTTTAAAGCTTGCTTTGTTTGTAAAGTACATTTGGCTAAATGTATAAGTGTCAATGGGAGTTTGGGCCAGATTGCAGGTTGTTACTGATCTCTGTTTCCAGTGGAGCATCATCGCTGGGATCATGGGATTGAGGTGTCTTTTGTGTTTTATGGTTTTTATCTTGTCTTTTGCTTTCCTGGCCACTCATGGCAAGGGGACAGGGCCATGCTTTTCTGCAGTCTCTGCTCACAACTATTCTGAAACTTGTAAAAGGTTTTCACGTTGAATTAGCCTGTGGTGTTGCTCTTACTTGTGGAGAGGACAGATTCTTGGAAAAAGAAGTATATCATATTTAGCTAGCACTGTAGCAAGGATGTTGTTTGTGTAATCTTTTAGGAATTGAGATGAGGTAGGATGTACTTTAAGTAACTCAGTTTGCTTTCTATTGTTTTGAGTTGTTTCTTTCAGTGGAAGCTGAACTGGCTGGCCTAACACTCCAGCTGCATTTTCCCCCAGTGTCTTCTGTGATGGTACAAGACCTATTGCTGCCAAACACTGCTGATTCCTTTCAAGCTTTCCTGCCCAAATATTCATTAGAAAACACTCAGCCCTTTCCCTCTGCCTGCTCTGAAAAGACTGAGTTTGCATTCATTGCTTAACAGCAGTGATGTCTTAAACTGAACTTAGAAGGCAGCAGCAGGGAAGTGCAGGTCACTGGGATGTTGGGCAGCAGGGTCACAGTGTGCTTGCCCTGCTCCTCTGCTCTTCCCTGGCCATCAGTTGCTGTCTGCTGCCAGGGATGTGTTGTGAGATGGGCTGGACCTTGGCTCTGACCTGCTACAGACGTGTTTGTTTGCTGCCAGGGTCCTGCTCAGCCCCCAGAAAAGCCATTTAACCTCGCCTTTGAAAGCTTTGGTTTAAAGTGCCATTGCTTCAGCTCGTTTGTTGCAGCTGGAGCTGTGGCTGTGAATTGAGGACCATGACTTATGGTAAAGGTTTTTGGAGCATAGAGTCTAAGAATGAAGACATGTCCATTAAATATGTATGTTTATGGTGTTAGATGAATACTGCTATTGGCAAGCTCTCCTGAGTGCAGCTCTGCCCATACCAAAGCCTTCTTGATGGTACTTCTCTCTTTGTTTTTTTTAACTTTGAAGCTTTTGCCAACAACTTTCCAATAAGAAGTTTAATTTTTGTCTGGATACTATAGTTTTTTTCTGGTGTATTCCAGCGCACTGCTGGAGTAGTGTGTTGGCTTTTCAGAAGCAGTATCATGCTGGAGAACAAGAGCTGACCCAAATGGTGGTGATGAGTCCTGGGGCACTCACAACATCACCTCAGTTATATTTCACAGTAAAAACCAGGTAGACACTGTTCATCTTTGAAATAACAGGACCTGCTGTATGCAACCCACTATGAGCCTTGCTTCATTCAGGTAATGAGTGCCTACCTTTCTCTACAGCAAAAGAAAGTGCTACAATCCTTTCTTGCCTTTCTTTTTTCTCGTGCTGTTTGTATTCCATCAATTTTTTAGTGTCCTAAACCTTGAACATTTTCTGACATGTTCTGTATCTGCAGTGATCATGTTTGTCAGTAGATCTGGTCTGCAGGTTGAACCTTTGGTTTTCCTCCAAGGCACTGAAGGATGCCAAGGCTGTGCTTTACATCCATCTACACTAACTCTTCCAGCACCAATTCTAAACCTGCTCTGACGGCTCCCAAAGGAAGCTATGAACTGTTGTGAAGGTTTATCTGTGGGTAACTTGGCTTGCTGGGCCTGAGAGAGCAGGAGGATGTGGTTTTGTACGAGGGAGGCCAGCAAAAGCTTTACTGCACTTGGTGTTGCATTTGAAACTAGCACTGGTTGCTCTTCACACCACTGCTGCTGTGAAGGAAGGCACAGCCTTTGAGAACATGATCAGGTTGATAATGACAGTGAAGACTTCCTTCTCAGTGAAAGAACATCCAAAAGAATGTGGTTTCACATTGGTTTAACAGGCATTTCCTCCGTTGATTTATTTGAATAAAATTTTGCCTAGATGGCTTTTTTAATTGAATATTTAAGCAAGCTGAAAGCAGGCATTTTACTGTCTCTCTTTAATTTGTGCTGATACGTGGTTTAGCATAATTATTTTTTAATGTCCTTTTTAAAAGTGTAGTGCCCTCATCCACATGACCCTCTTCATTCAAGAAGAAGTGGATTTAATTTGGAGAGAAATGTCTGTTGTATCACTGCCCTGTGGCAGGGAGGTATGTGGGAGGGGTAGGCTTGGTGAAAAAAAAAATTGCTGACTTTTAAAGTGATGGGTTCAGGCCAAAAAGCATTAAGAATGGTCTGAAGCATACTGTGGTGTTTGTAAAGCTGCCTTTCTGAACCTCATGAATTTAATTCTAAATATGAGCCTTGCAGCATTGCACAGATGTCTTGGTTTTACTGGGTGACCTAAAATAACCAACTTACAGTTTTCCTCCCTTTTTTCACCCCCCATTCCTCTCACAGGCCTGTCCTTTCTTGTTGGCCAGCATTAACTGTCCTGGATCCCTAAAGAGAAAACAGAGCCATGTTCCGCTCTTTTGAGGTTTCTGCCTCAAAATCCAGTGTGTGGAATGGTGGAGTATTCCTGGGCAGCAGGATTTTGTCACTGAGCATAAAAACTGGCCACCTCCTATCTAGTTGTCTCCTTGCTCTTCCCCAGTGCAGTAGGAATACCAACACTGGGAAAAAAAAAGGTTGGCACAATCATATATAGAGAGATTGCAGTTTAATCTGGGACAGAGGAGTCTGCTGGTACTCTTGAACTCTCCCTTTGAATAAGATAATCACAACAGCCTCAATTTTTGGTGATGCCATTGCCTACATTCATTTGTGCCTCTGTGTTTACTCTGGAGGCTTTTCTTCAATGCTGTTTATTAACACAGCAAGGTTGACAAAGCATCTAAAGGGGGAAAAAAGCTCTAGCCTTTCTTATATTCCTACCAAATACCTGTCTGATAATAACCAAAAATGTAGTGCTTACACTTAGAAGTTTGAAACTTGAATGCAGGTCAGACTGCAAAAAAACACCAAGAAGAGCAAACCCTTCCTTGCTGTCTGCCTCCAGAAGGAAAAAGCAGGCACCCTAGATGAGGGTGCACACACACACCCCTGCAGAATGGTTCTCCTTGGCATGAGCTGGACTGTGGCATGCAGCTGAAGGCACCTTTTCCTGTGGACCAAGCTGTAAAAAAGAAGAAAAACTGAGGGGGGAGGAAAAAATCACAGAGATGTCTAGAAAACAGTAATAAAGGGAAGGTTTAAATAATCAAGATGGTTCTGTGTAGAGAACACCTGAAAGCCTGCTGCAGGAGCAGAAGGGAGTGAACTGCTGTCTGTGCCTGCTGTAGAGAGGACAGCTTAAGGATTTAAGATGCAGAGTGGAGAGCGGCAAAACTTTGGAAAAAGCTTTCTGTTGCCAAGCAGGAGTTGTAAAATTGATGTTGCTGGAAGGAACTCAAAAAGAAAAGATCCTGGCAAATGCTGGAGAAGACTTGGGGTTTGGTATTTCTGCACTGGGGAGTGGAGTGCCTGGTCCCTGGTGGGAAATGAGCCCTTAGAAGATGTTTTAAAGGCAGGGGAGATCTAAAGAATGTAAGTTCTGGCCTTCCCTGCTCATCCCTTATGTTGTTGTGAAAAAGAAAAAAAAAAGCTAGGAGGGGGTGGGGGACAAGAAATTAGTAGTCACAATGAAGAGAAGTAAAATGTGATGAAGAAGCTTTGCTGTCACAGGTTGGGGACAGCTGGGTTAGGTGGCTTACAGAAATCTCCTTTAGCTGCACACTCTGCAATTTTATATTGGGAGAGACTTGTGTTCCAGCCCTGCTCTGCTCTAGGAGCCTCACGTGCTGTGAATTCCAGCACAGGGCAACACTGACCTATCTGAGTGTCAGATCAAATGACCCTGGGAAGGATATTGGTATTTTTGTGGTATTTCTGTCAGGTGGTCCTTTCAGATAGGGGCTGCTTCTTATCTTCCTCTTTGAGAACGTGAAGAAATTCACTTGCAATCCGCGTGTGTTCCATGGAGAAGGTGGTGACCAGACTCAAAACAGGTGCTTGGACCCAGCCACCAGAAAAACCATGGTGCCTCCAGTTTGCTATTTTTTTCAGCCTTTGGGCTCTCAGTGAGTTTCTGTGGCACAATTAATTCCTGATGACCAGCCAAAGGAGAGTCGTAGCTAACAGGAATGCATGGAGGACACTAAACAAAAGCTGAAAGGCAGGGTAAGTGCAGGCAGAATTTAAATTCAGGTGCTGGTTCTCTCTACAGCACAGTCCTGCTTGCCTTTTTGGTATTGCAGCCATTGCAGAGAGCTGGTGGGTGCTGAAGTAGTTTTGCAGAACCATAAGCACTGAATTAAAATCTGAGTCAAGTTCCTGGCTCCCTGTACCAGCGAAGGCTTTGCTAGCAAGCATCTGAGACAAAGTACCAGAAAATTTATGGACTGTGATGGTCTGTCACTCTGTGAGAGCAGAAAAGAAATACCATCCAGCTTCCTGAATTGATTTCTTTGGTGTGTGGTGAGCCTAAAATTGTTTGGCAGGACATATGGTCTTTGTGTGTTGGTGAAACACGGGCGATCTGGGATGCTCCATGCAAGGAAGTGCAAGTGGAGCATCTTGTTCTTGGAGTTCTCTTCCCAGCAGTGACCAACATGTGACCTTGGCAGTGCTGAGCTCTCATCAGCTGTGTTTTAAAAAGCATCCAAAATGTGTGTATCTCTAATGTAAATGAGGCACAACTTGCCTCCTGACCACAAGGAAATTCAGTCTCACCTTGGGGCCCGTGCCTACACAGGGCAGACAGAACTGAGATCAACTGAGCTTGCATTTAATAACTCAGTACCTGTTGGGGGAATCTCCAACTTGCTGGTGTTCAAAATACCAGATTCCAAAATACCCAGGGCTTCTGGGAGGGGAGCCCTGCTGTGTTTCTGCCTTGATTCCAGGACAACATTGAGGAGGGGTTCTGTCCACTGGAAGCATTTTGGACGTTACTGTGATGTAAATGGACGTTCCATTGTGGAAGACTGTCTTTTGCAGATAACACAGTGTTTGCAGTTCACAAATCTGGTGGAATTACACATGTGAGAGAGGGAATGAGCAGCAGAAAGCCAGTTACCTGTACTCCACAGTCCATATTTGCTCTGGATAGCCAGTGAGTCCTCATTAGCTGTAAATAATTGTTACACAAATTAAAATCCCCACTACACTGATACAGGTCCTCTGCAGGGGTGCCTGGCTGACAGCAATAGTGTTTAACAAGTTACAGCAGTATCAGGAGGATACAACCTGATTACAAAGTGGTTTTTTTTTTTCCTGCATTGAGTTTTTTTTTCTTGAAATTTTAACTTGCATGTCTTCTCTAGGAGAGGGTGGATCTTCTCAGACAGGTGAAATTGTGCATCTCCAACTTATCTTGGTATAATTTTCTCTTGTTCACCTCCTCCTCCTTCTCTTCCTTGTTTCATCCCACTTATTGTGGGTTTTGTCAGGGCCCTTTTTTTGGCATTTAGAATCAGTTGCCCAATTACAATAACAAGCAGGTAAGCTGAGCACTGCACAGCGTGATAGATGCAGTAATTGTACTAGCAACGCTTCATCTTTGTGGGTTGCATTTTTGTGCTTCCAGTATACTCAGATCAAGTTTTCTTTCCTGTACCTCTATTTTTTGGTACAAGTTGTGTGTGGGGGAAAGAGGAGCAGCTTGAAGGGAGTGGAAATGAACTTTATTCCTGGTTTTTCTTGGGTTTAATATTTATGTTGCCATGGGGTGGGGGCTGCTGCTCTCTGCCAAGTCCATCTGTAGGCAACCAGCAGACCTGAATGTAACAGGTCCACATTTGGGCACCTACTGCTGTTTTTTAAGCTGTGAAGCAAGCCAGCATGTCTAGAGGCTGGTCTGGCTTGGAGGAGAGGAATGTGTCAGGGAGATGCTGTGGGGCCTGTGCAGCATCATCTGTTCAACCTGTTGCTTTCTGGGACTCCTGTTGCCTGTTCTAAATTCCTGTGGCACTTCTCTTCTGGCCTTGCTTTTCTGCTCCTTGGGCTCTGTCACATCTTGAATGTGCTGCTTGTCAAATTCTTTATTTTCTCCACTAGGAACTTGTGGAGTTGTTCCTGCTCCTTCTTCCCCCCTGTGTCCCACCAAGGCACTTTGTGCTGTTTTTTCAGAGGCCAAGAGGCTCAGACTATTCTCTGGAGGGCTTTTACAGCCATTTAAGAGCTGCTGGCCATATTTTAGGATGCATTATCTCTTCCTTTTGAGGAGTCCTAGTTTTCTGCCTCGGGTCTGGATTCAGTCCTAATTTATGTAGAAATCCTATGTTAAAACTTGTTCAGCTGTTAACTTACCACAGACAGCTTTGCAGTTCTTGTGATGGAAGTGAGAGTTTCTGCATGTGGAGGGGGCTGTGCTAACTCACTAGAGATTCTGGTTATGTTGGCCAGTTCTTCACTGCAGCCTTTTTAGTTCTTTAATGAGAGGTTATTTTGGGAGGAAGAATGTAATCGGGTCAAAAATCAAATTTCAGTCAGGGCTGATTCATTTTGTATGGGCATGTTTTGGTTGCTGGGCATTGCTCACAATAGAAGTTGGAAGAATTGGAGTGTTCAAACTAATTTTTACTAGGTCTTTCCCACTGGCAATGATTGGCTTTCCTGACATGGTTTCATTTCAGACTTTGAAACACTAATTTCTGTTTTGTATTAAATGTACTTTTGACTAACAGAAATGTGCTGGGGAAAGTAATAAAGCCCAAAGGGTAACAGAACCTTTTCCTCTTGACATAGTGTTTTTTTCTGTAGATCAAACATGGATGCATTTTGTTTTGACATGTTTCATTGCTAGTATGAACTTGAAATTTAAAATTCTTGCCACTGAGCAGAGTAAACTTAAAAGGCACTCAAGCAGATTAAGGCAGAGTATTTGGAGTCTAAAAGATGTCAACTTTGTTCACCGTATTATGGTGGTTCCTGTTGGCAGTCATTGTGGCTTTGGAGAACAGGATGGCTCTATGAAGTTAGAAAACACTTCTCAAAAACTGCATATCAGGTAGTTAATATCTCTAATGTCTGATATCTAAAACTTGGGAGGTTTTTGAGTTGATAATGTATGCTTTTTCATATTAGAGCTTTATTGATTTTTTTTTTTTTTTTTAAGAGGGAGAAAAACTGCCATGATCTCTCACAAAGTAATAGAGGGAAACAGTATTATAAATCCCTTTATATGTTGTGAAAGCCCAGACCTTTCCTGTTGCTCCCTTCTATTTTCCTCCTGTGCAGCTCAGGCTTTTTATTATGTGCTCTTTCTCTCATAGTCACTATTCTCAAAAATTTCTTCAGACAGACTGGTACCATGCAAAATACTGAAAATATTTACACTGGGACAGCAGCATTTTTTCTGCACACTGAAATCACATGTCCACCAAATGAACTGTCTGGAAGGGGACAGGATGGAGGGACCAGGCTGGTTCTAAATTGTTACCTCTGCTTTAATTAAACGTTGTAGAGACTTGTGGGGCAGCTTGTCTAGCTGAACATCTAATGTCTCTTTAGGTAATTTAGGGTGTTTCTCCTGGCCTGGAGCCACCACTCTCAAAGGGCACTGATTTCCCAATGGTCTAATGTGGCATCTGCCAGTCCTGTGTGGATGTTGTGGATGTGTCTTGGAAACATCTAAAAACATCTCTTGGCGCTATGTTTAGAAACCCAGCTCTTTTCCAAAAGTGTTGGTTAGAAGTTCAAGGAGCAGCTTTTCTCTGCCTGTTTACCTGGAAGCCTTTTCCCCAAACCTCAGTCACCTTTTCATCTCCCTGCCTCAGTGTCAATGTGTTCAAAGCCAAAAGCTTTAAGTGCCAATATGCAAATGCACCCACAGGTCAGTGCATGAATTCAGTTTGAGATTATCTGACTCTTTTGAAGATGTGATTTCATGGCTATATGACTTTACTCAGAGACCTTAATTTCAGAGTAATTTTAATCTGGAATAAAGGAACATTGTAAAAATGCGGGTGCATCGGAGTAGGAATAATTTGCCTTGAAAAACAGATACTTATGGACCTGCAAGTGCTGTAAGACTTAATATTTTCATTATTGTTGTGATCTAGAGTTTTATTATGCATTAAACAGTTTATAGGCAGCTGAGCAATGTAGTGTCTGCTTGCTTGCTGTCTTCCCTGTTTGTGGCCCCCAGCATTATCCCCATTTCAGTGAAATACAGTTCCTCTGATCAAGGCAGAAGGAGTAAGGTAGTGATTGGTATGGTGAGATTTTTTTTTTTCCTCCCACTACTTTGCCATTGTCTTTTAACACAGTACTTCCAAACTAAACACTGTGTGGTAGCTTTGTGGTGGCTCTGATGGTCTAAAGAAACAAAATAAAATATATAATAAAATATAAAAAATAATAAATATGAATAAATAATAAAATATGAAAAGAAAAATAAATTAATAATAAAATATAAAAATATATAAAATAAAATAAACTCCAGTGATTAGCAGCTTTGGAAAAATATTTGTCCCATGAAGAGAGAAGTCATTCCCTAGCAAAAATTACTTGCACCTCTGTGCTTTCCAATCCTCTGTTATCCAGAGGATAACACTCTGATAAATGTTTAAATCCTTTTGATTTCAAGATTCCCATGTGTCCTGAGTGAAGTTGCTTCATTATTTTTAATTCTGTCATCATTCCTGAAGAGTGATTTGGACTTACAAAAGGGGCTGTTGTTGCAAATTGCCTTAGAACAAAAAATATGACAACCATCCTGAGCTGTGGAAAGAGGGATGAGTGTAGATACTAGGAGAAAATCCAGTCTCTGGAAAGCAGCCACATCAGCAGTGCAAACTGGGGTAAGGTTCAGGGAGTCTCTGAATGGTGCTGTTCTTGTTGTCTGAATATCTCTCAGATATTAAGGTGGTGCAGGTTATTTGGTCACTAAGACTCTGTTTTTGTTATGGCTCCTTTTACAGAGGTCTGTATAGATTCAGTTGTTTAGTATTTTGAGTAAGTATTTCCTGGTTTTGAATACCCTTCTGGGAGGCAAGGCATAGAATGGAAGGGGAAAAGTTGCATGGGGGGAGTTTACATACATATTCATATTCTCTTAGTTTTTTTTCCTAAGTCCAAGAGAAAGGAGCAGAGTTGGCTGATTTTAAGAATCATGTGATAAGCAGAACCTTATACCTAGAAATTAATAACTAGAAACCTTCCCTGCAGATGAGTAACTTGTACCCATCTCTAGTGACAAGCATTTAGAATGATGCTTCATCCAGGTTATTACACTGCTGAAAGTAACATTTTTTCCTTTGAAGTGCATCAAATGCTTGTTGCAGTAGTGGTTAATGTGCCTGATTTCAGAAGGCATTCTGCTTATTTTTGCCTATTTTTCTTGGTCTAAAATTCAGCCACAACTTCGAATATGGGTCAAAATATATTCTGTTTGCCAGTATGTACATCGAAAAGCAAAGAGTCTCACAGCAGTGTATCATAGAATTGGATAAGTAATACTGTAGTTTGTGCTTTCTAAATATTTCAAATTACGTTTGAGGGTTGTAATGAAATGCTGCTTTGTGGTGTGACAGACCACTGGCAGGGGGGCTGGTGAAGTTTGCAGGATTTAGCTTGGGAAGGAGGCAGTGCCTGCAGCGCTGTGGTCAGGGCTGGGCAGTGGGGCAGGACACGGGGCTGAAAAGCCAATTCTGGCTCTTGGCAAAATGCACTGGTGAGGAATCAAAACCCTCCCCTGTGATCATAAAAAAAAGCCACCAGAGGTTCAGAGGGCAGCTGTGTGTTTGCTTTACCTGTGCACTTTACCCTGGTTGTGTGCCTTTTCCAAGGGGTATTTATATTTTAAGCAACATGAGATTGCGGCTGGACCTGTGAAGGACGTGAGGTGCACGAGGTGGTCAGAACGTGCTGGCTCTTCCTCTCTGAGCCTGCTCTG